GTCCCACATAAACAAAACATCACAGCATGGAGGCAGAAAGTAATATAGACTTTTAGTCCTTACATGAGCACCGGGTATCATAAGCCACAGAGGGAATGATGGAGGTTAGAGTAGTGATACAGGACCACATGCAGTACAATGGAGACAGTTGGGAGGAAGCAAAATGAAAAGATGGATTTGGTGGCTGATGTGGTATGAAGACCACCAATGCTGCCCCAGACCGTGAAACATGGCTCCTGTTCTGAGCCTGATGGAAGGCCCAAGGGGTCCAAAAAGGCCACTGCGGGGGATTCTGCCATTGGAGCAGCTGCTGAGTGGGATGAGGCCTCTGACAGTGCTGGGACGAAGATCATCTGTTGCCAGCGATGCCAGACCTGTAGGAGTCCAATTCTGACTCAGTATAAGGACCATGGAGGAGTCACACTTCTCAATGCTGATCTCACCGATGCTGAAGACCAGCGATGGTCTCTTGAATGGCACAGAGAGGGGGATCTTGCCTGCATCCCTTTTGACTGCCCCGGTGGCCTTGCTGGCGGCTGAAAGGGCCCATGTTGAATCTTGCCTCAGCGGTGAGAATGGTTCAGTTAGGTGCATTACATCCTGTGCTGCATGAAAAGCCTGGGATGCCAACAGCATAGGTAGATGTTCTGATGGCACTCGTGAATGGTGCTGGCCCAGACTCAACTGCCTTGGTTGGGCAGGAGTGGACGTGGACATCACCCGGGCTTCAATCTCAAGGCCTGATTACAGTACTGGTGCTGGCTGGTCACTGGGTTTTGCAGGTGGGGAGTGCCCATATCTTTCACTTTTCTGTGGCACAGGAATTACAACTGGAGCTGAGAGGTCACCTGGCTGTGAGAAGTGGCATGGCGATGATCAGTGTTCCCTCTAAGCTGCGAGGCAGCACAGCTTCACAGGTGATTAACCAGCCGGGTCCAGTTAGTCAGCTCCATGCATGGAGTCCTGAGCCTCTGACTGGGTGGGGCTGATTAATCACCTGTAAAGCTGTCTTGCTGCATAGCTTAGAGCAGTGTTTCCCAATTGGTGCTCCGCGGAACCCCGGGGTTCCGCAAAGCTAAAGTAAGGGTTCCACGAGAACTCGGCACTCCCCCGCCTCCTCTTAAAGAGACAGAACCTTTTTGCGGTAGAACTCGGAGAGTCTTTTTTTTTTTTTCTCAACAAATTTTACCCTGGCAACCGTAGGGATTCCTTGAAATTCTTTTCAAGCTGAAAAGGGTTCCTTGGCCAAATAACATTGGGAAACACTGGCTTAGAGGGAACACTAGCAATGATGGTCTCTGCCTGTTTCTTTTCTAGGCACCTTGTCCTTCGACACCAGTGCCAGGGTGCTCTACACCGAGGAAGACATATTAAGCACCATCTCCACAGTGCTAGGGTCAGATTGGGGCTGTGCAGTCAGCTTCACGAGGACAATAGGGAGATACTTTTCTCTCTCCCTTATTGTCCAAGGCCTAAATTCCCTGCAGATTCTTTAGCTATCTTTCTGGTGACCCTCGTCCAGACACTTCAGACAGAAGGAATGAGGGTAACTCTTTGACATGTGCTTGATGCACGGCTGGCAAGCCTTGAATCCAAGAGAATGACGTATACCCCAGGAACGGCTTGAGCAGAAGGGGGGTGAGGACCCCCTAAATTAAACTTAACTAACTGCTAACTAAGAACTAACTATGACTAAGAGAACTACCTACAACTATATACAATAAAAGCAAGAGCTCTGATCTACTTGTGAAGGAAGAGAAGAGCATAGGGAAGTTCCAGCTACCATCACTGGCAGTAAAAAGGAACAGCCCGTTTGTTGTCTGGCCTTGCACTAATGAACAGAAAGCAATTCAAAGCTTTTGATCTGCACTGGAGCATGTAAACTCATTCAAGGGACCTGCGCGTGAGATGAATACCTGGTTTTCTCCAAAGTTCAGTTTTGGCATACTGATTGCTAGCTGACATTAACTTATGAGTTTCCCTTTGGAACTGATTTATCTTGATAGTTGGCCATCGCATAAAACCCCACATATCTGAATAATAGTCAGGAGGATCCATAATTTAGAAGGACCAGTAAGTTCAGATAAAACGACTACCTGACGTTTTGGAAGCCAGAAACAGTTTGGTTAACTTTTTTAATGCCCCTCTACACTTCCTGATTTCACCCAGAATTAGAAGCAGAAATACCAACACACCAAAAGAATTAAGAAAAACCCAACACTCTCATGAGCTTTCCACTGCAGCTAAAACCAAGAACAGGAACTCTGAAGAGAAAGTCTGTTCTTAGAAGATATACAGACTAATTTCTTGATCAAACAAGACTAGACATGTTCAGCTGCTAAGCTTTGGGATGCTTTTCCAAACTAAATATTTTGGTAGCTTCCTCATCACTAGGTCATTATCAATGAATACAAAATATTGACAACCTTCAAAGCTCTTACCTGTTAGGGTAGCAGTACACAGCAGTTGTATACCTTATATTTATAGGATAATTAAAAGCACAGTTAAAACACAAAAAAATAAAGTTACATACATTTCAGATTTGAGAAAAGGCAGAAAATGTTCTAAGCAGGCATTTGTCATGCTTGTTTTTCATTTTCAGACATGGTAAACTAAAGATGTAAGCTGCATCTTACCTTTCAGTTTCCAGGTTTTTGTCAGGATAAAGGTGTGTTACATCTGATATTTAAATACAGTGTGTTTTTCTTCTTTGTAATATAACCAAGCATTAGAAAACAGTTATTAAGTTGTTACTTTTGCTAATGTGACTTAAATTCCTTCAATTACAAGGAGGCATTGATTTATATGGGGCCAGTATTTCATTCTAGATTTTTGGGGGGACTAAAAACACATGCTCCTTTGTGATGAATTTAAATTCAGGCTGTTGTTGCTCTTCTGTAGGGGTTTAGGAAGTTTCCCAAATGAATAAAGATTAGGCAGATTTGTCTGTAATTTATATTAGAGCAGGATTGCTAACTGGAGTTCAAGGTTGGAAACCTACATTAACATGTTTGCTCTGCAGTTCAGCATCTTAGGAGCCCTTTTGTCAAGCTTACTAGACACAAGTCAGTGGTTTATGCAATGATCCCCTTGATATCCTATATCCACAGGACTCCGTCTATTTATTACCTGACCAAACTGTACCTGCCATAGTTAAACATCTTCAAATGGTAATTTAGCATTAGGCCAAGTGAAACCCTTGTAGCTACATTTATTTAACCCCAAAGAAAAAATACTCTCAGGTGTCATAATGTAGTATCTAAATAGGCAAAAATCCATAAAGATTACTAGACTATTCACCAAAAAAACCACAGCTTGTTCCTTTGCTTTCCGATCCTGAAAACCATTATCTCCATATCCACCCCAACATACATTCCAGAGTACAGTTGAAACAGATGGTAGCTAGCTGCCAATCCAATTGCAGTTCAAAACAATGGTGAAGTATCCCAGATGTTTTCCAGATTGAAAATATTATTGTCATTTTGTTATCACTCCATGATGAAGTTTATGTAACAAAAATGCACATGTCCTCCAGTCTGGAATGCAATTAATTTCCTTCTGCCCCACTGAAAGTTGTAAGTTGTAAGCAACCATTCAGACTGTCTGAGAACTCCAGTTTTAAGTATTACCAGAAATAGAACACTGGGGCTATTCCAACTGGTAACCTATTCTTTGTAACATGCAAAACTTCTGGAATTTTTAGAGGTAAAGTGTAGCTTGCAATTTGGAAAGAAATAAACACTACTTTCCTGTTTATCCATAATGTCTAATTGGCTGTAGCTTGTTATGAAAGTTTCATCACATTTGTTTTTATTGTAAGCGCAGGCTTTGCTTTATGCTCGAATTTTACATACAAATATGCTCACTATAGTAAATAACTATCTGCAGTCTGAAACCAATCACTTAACTTGGCATGTAATTATAAACCCGTGGTATGCAAATATAAGGCTTTGTATTTTACGAAGTTTAAAACAAAGTTTAGTGCATCTAATTTATAACTTCCAAACGTCATAGATTGCTTTGGGTGAAATTAAGTAATACTGCATGATCTCAAACTATTTAATGTAATTTTATTACATAGAGGTTAAAAGCAACGGTCCTATTTTAAAATGACAGATTAAATAAATAGAAGAAGTTCTCTCAATGCAATCTATTTAGTGATTTTCATTAGCAAGATCTCAACAATCTTTGAAAGTGAAGCAATTCTAGGAATATTTAGACTGTATGATCTTCAGAGTGGGGGCTACCTTTTTCCTTATGGTTGCCAACTTTCTAATCACACAAAACCAAATACTTTTGCTCTGTCCCCACAACTTCGGAAGCTCTGCCCCTGCCGAGGCCTTATCCCCGCTCTTTCCATCCTCTTCTCCCCCTATTGCTCACTCTCACCCCAAGCTCACTCACTTTCATGTCCAACTCCTGAGAGCAGGGGCCTGAGGGCTCTGTGTCATAGCTACCCCCCAGCACCCATTGGCTGCAGTTTCTACCCAATGGGAGATGCACAGCTGGTACTTGAGGTGGGCCTGTGAACAGAGCCACTTCTGGCCCCTGCACTTAAGAGTCTGAAATGCAGACCATTTCCAGGAGCTGTGCAGAGTCAGGGCAGGCAGGGAGCCTGCCTTCGTCCTGCTGTGTCACCAGCTGGACTTGTAATGGTCCGGTAAATTGTGCTGACCAGAGCTACCAGGGCCCCTTTTCAATTGGGCATTCTGGTTGAAAACAGAATGCCAGGCAACCCAATTTTTTGTATGTGTTTGTTCAGTGCCTATCAGAGCAGGGCCTTGATTGAGACCCCGGCTTCTACTGCAATACAAATAATAAAATAACAATATGGAATAGACCATTTTATCCATGACAGCTCTGATGAAACATTAATTTTGCATTTATCTGTAAACATTTATTTTTAAGTCCTATAGCTTAGTTCACTCTGTTCTGGAGTTCTGATATTGCCTACACATTACTTTTCATAGGGAGCTTTACATAGGCTTTGGGCTTCTCACCTAGTTAAATACTCCAGTGCTAGCTCAGCTCCTGATGGCTTTTTGGGCTCTTCTTTCTTTGCAGCAATTCCAGCTTCCTGCATTAGTTTTTTTTCTTCCTTCTTACGTTCTTTCTTCAGTTTTCTTTCTAATGTCCTCCTTTCCTCTGCAGTAAGGTCCTCCACCTCCTTCTCCACCTTTTTTGCTCTCTGAAATAAAATACAAGAGTAACTTGAACTGAAGACTTCATGAAATATTTCATATGAGAAATTCAAGTTGGTAATTTGACTATATACTCTATCAATCTCCTGCACTGTCAAATGCTATTGTAAGTAATAACCAACCACCAACCACCAAATGAGCAAACATACCAAATTATTGTTCTATTCTATACAGCTTTTTATATTGAGCTCATTATCACAATAACTGAGTGCCTAGTACTTTAACTGGCATGATTAATACGTGTCACCTGCTGTTTGTTCTCTCATTCACTCCCCAAGGAGAAGAGGCGCAGTGAAATGTTTTGGTTTGGTAGGTTGTTTTTTTTAAAATACGTATACACATATGTTGCTACGCATTTGTATGAGAGAAGCCTGTGTTGAAGAAAAGTGCCTTGCACCAGAGGAGGAAGATGGAGAGGTTTGCGCTTAGTTCCTGCATACAATGTTCCCTCAATCTTTTCCGTCCATGTGCAGAACACATTTGGAATATGGAAATGTGCACCACCAGCAGAAACAAACAAACAAACAAACAAACTAGCTGTGGACACTCTTTTGATTGGGTGGTCAGCATTTGAATCTCTCCTAAGGGTCCGCACAAATGCACAGGTTACAGGGTACACTGCTTGTGTATCTTCCACTGTCTTGGACCAACTCCCGACAAAGTTCTGTCTCCTGCAGAATGAGCTTCACTTTTGTAATAGAGAGTTCCATTGTTTCAGAGGAACTGAGTCATCATTTACGGTCTTCATCCTGAAGCTTTAAGTAATTTGAATATCTTGGGTCCAGGGCCATTGGGTGTTGAAGACCTTGTACGTTGTGAGTGAAGACCAAGAATTTGAACCTTGTTTCTTGTGTCTTTTTTTCAGCAGTGTAAAGATTGCGTGGAAATAGAGTGTTATATTTCATATACTTTATGTATACCAAGTAAATATGGCATGTGATATATTTATGGTTTTTGTTATTGGTAATGATTTCATTTTCAGTATGAATAACTTATTTGTATGCAAATCTAAACAAATTTCACTTCCTCTGATTGCCCTCCCCTGCTTGGAGTTTCTTTATGTTGGAAGATAGAACAGCTATTCACACTGAAAGTAGAATTACTAGAAGCAACAAAATACTCAAATGTTAGCATGCAGTATGCTTATGTATTTGGCAGCTATGAAGTGCATGAAATGGAATACATCTACATCTCAGGAAGGAAGAATCAAGTATAAAATGCATTCAGAGTACACACAGTAAAAAGTGTTACGTGGCAAAAGATGAGGCTTATATAAAAGAATCCAACAATCTTACAAAATATTTGTTCATAAACTTATAGGCAGTAATTCATAGAATCATAGGACTTGAAGGGACCTTGAGAGGTCATCTAGACCAGTCCCCTGCACTCATGGCAGGTCTAAGCACCATCTAGAGTCTAGACCAGGGGGTGGCAACCTACGGCATGCATACCGTAAGTGGCATGCGAGCCAATTTTAAGTGGCACGTGAGGAGCTCAGCCGCCCTCTCCTCCCCCATGCACTAGGGAATCTGCGCTGCTGCTGGAGCCCTCCCAATTCCCAGGTAGCAGATTGGGCTGCATGCACCTGGCGACGGTGGGAGGAGGCAGCACTGGGACTGAAGTGGCTGGGGCTGAGGGAGAGGCTCCTCAGCAGCTCCTTCAGCATCCAGGGCCAGCCTGGGACTGTGTGGCCACAGCAGTGGCGTCTCCGGGGCTGACCTGGGACCGCATGGCTGTAGCAGCGATGACTCCAGCATCCAGGTCCAGCCTGGGATCATGTGACCATGTCAGCGGTGCCTCCGGCCTCAGGGGCCAACCCAAGACTGCATGGCTATGGCAGTAGCTCCTCCAGGGCTGACCTGGGACCATGTGGCCACGACAGCGGCTCCTCTGGCCTCTGGGACTGGCCCAGAACTGCATAGCCACAGCAGCAGCTCCTCTGGGGCCATCCCAGGACTGCGTGTCCGCAGCAGTGACTCTTCCAGCACCCAAGGCTGGTGGGATTGCATGGTCATGGCTTCGGCTCCTCCGGTGGCCAGAACTAGCCTGGGACAGCATGGCTGCAACAGCGGATCTTCCGGCAGCCAGGACCACCACCCAGGACAGTTGGCAAGTCACCACACAACCGTGGCCCCAGCTTCAGCGCTGGGGAAGGGCCAAAACTGGGTTAGGGCCACATGGTAGCTGCTTCTGGGGCAGACCGTGGGGCTCCGATGTGTCAAGGGAGTGCCAGGGAGCTGCTCTGGCAATGGCTGCTGCTGCAGTGGGGGATCAGGCTGCCATTCTTCTGTCATCATCACTGGTGGAGTGGCGCTGTAGACAGTAGCTCATGTGCTGCTTAAAGTATCAAACTACAAAGCCTGAGATTGGAGAACTGAGCAAGGAAAGCAAGGCCAAGGATCACACCAAACGGTAAGATCTGCATCTTAATTCATTTATTACTGAAGCTGCTAAAATGTAGGTAGGACTATTATTGACTTTAAAAGTATCAATGGCATGCAGACCCATAAATAGAAGCAAATAAGTTAAATCTCGGCACGCCACTTCTGAAAGGTTGCTGACCCCTGGTCTAAGCCATCCCTGACAGATGTTTGTTTAACCTGCTCTTAAAAATCTCCAGTGATTAAGATACCACAACCTTCCATGGCAATTCATTCCAGTGATTAACTACCTTGACAGTTAGGAAGTTTTTTTACTAATGTCCAACCAAAGCTGCCCTTGTTAAAATTTAAGCCTATTGCTTCCTGTCCTGTCCTGAGGTTAAGGAGAACAATTTTCTCCCTCCTCTTTGTAACAGCCTTTTTTGCACTTTAAAACTGTTATTGTATCCCCTTTTAGTTTTCTCCAGACTAAACAAACTCAGTTTTTTAAATCTTCAATTATAGACAATGTTTTCTAGATCTTTAATAATTTTGTGTTACTCTTCTCTGGACTTCTGCTGATTTATTCATATCTCTCCTGAAATATGGCACCCAGAATTGGACGCAGTATTCCAGTTTAGGCCTATTCCAGTTTAGGTATCTAAAAGGGTGTCACAAGGAGGAGAAAACTTGTTCTTCCTGGTCTCTGAGGATAGAACAAGAAGCAATGGGCTTAAACTGCAGCGGGGGAGGTTTAGGTTGGACATTAGGAAAAAGTTCCTGTCAGAGTGGTTAAACACCGGAATAAATTGCCTTGGAGTGGTTGTGGAATCTCCATCTCTGGAGATATTTAAGAGTAGGTTAGATAAATGTCTATCAGGGATAGTCTAGACAGTACTAGGTCCTGCCATGAGGGCAGGGGACTCGACTCAATGACCTCTCGAGGTCCCTTTCAGTCCTAGTATTCTATGATTCTATAATCAGCATGGAGCGGAGCAGAAGAAATACTTTGTGTGTCTTACTTACAACAATCCCACTAATATATCCCAATATGAATGTTGAATTCCACTGAAATAACTTATTGGTGTTCCTAACTAGTTGTTCTTGATTATAAAACTAAAGGTATGGGAGGTTCCAGTTGGTGTAATATTACATCAATATTACGCCAAAGAAAATAGTTTAACATTTTAAGAATTTTTATTTTCCTGTATGAAAATTCCCCATTGACTGAAACTGGTGGGGATTGCTCTTTCACCCTTCTTCTCACACAGTGATTGTAGATGTCAGAATCTTGGTATCTTCTACAGATGCAAACTGTATAGTGAATACACCCTACTCACCAGAGAGACACTGCCTCCTTTTACATCTGATGGAGATTCTGTGTTCCCAGCATTTTAAATCTAATTTTCTATAGGTGCCAAGATTCCTAAATCTCTGGGAAACAGTGTGTTTTGTACACTGGAGAATACCGTCTTACAGGTAATTGATCAGTAACAGCTGGACCATGGAGAATAGAAGATACTGAGAGCAGACTCTAGTGCCGGTGCTAATGAGGCTAATTAAGTGGGCTAGAAGTGTGAAATAAAGACTGTGTTTTTAAGAAGTTCATTTGCAAAGCACGTATTCTTTACTGGACAGATGTCCCTAAAGAAAGAGGATGAACCAGAGTCCCCACAGGGTAGATCCCTGGGATAAGTGTGCATAAGCAAGCAGGAACTCAGGACAGAGGGGAAGTGTTCAGTATTGGTTCCAAGACTTAGGGCAGCTGGACTGCAGAGTCCCATGTCCTAAGATGGGGCCAGGCAGTGAGTCTGTATCCTGGGAATCTTCACAACAGGCCAGAACTACAGGCCATGTCTGGACTGTGCGCAGGTCCAGCTGGCTTGAAAGCATTTTGGATTTAATGGAGAAAAGTGATTATAAGCAGTCTGGTGACCATGCGATAGGATACTCGGCCAAGTGTGTAACAGGCCCCATAATAGCCTTTTTAGCTTTGAGAAACCATGTATAACAAGAGATCAAATTTGTTAAACACGAATCCCCTGTGAGGAGAATTTCAATTGTGTACCTACATTAACATACTTGCAAAGCAGGGAAAAAATTATTCCAAGGGACATTGTTATATCTATATACTATAGCATAGGAAGCTAACCAAAGTCAAACTGAACACATCCACCAACAAGATAATTAATTATTCCCTGTGTCTCCTTTTCACCTCATATGAATGAATATCCAGCATACAAGACAGAAATGAGAATTGCACAAAAAGATAACCAATTCTAATAAAAGGCTGGTTAAATTATACTTCTTTAATAAAGGCCAAACCCTTAATGTGTCAATCAATGAATGTGTGTGAAGTGTTTTAAAATGAAAATCACAATGTAAAGGCTAAGTACTATTATTATTTTTCTATGAAGAGAGATGTTAGATAAAACATACCTAGATGCAACCTGGTGAGCCAAAGACACCTGCTGAGAACAACACATTTTTTCTGTTTGGATTCACAAATCATCCAAGTTTTCTCTGACTCACATCCACAGTTTGGTGCTTTCAAAGACTAAACTGATCGCAACAAGATGGAGAAAACCCCCAAATATTTTAATAAATGAGGGAAAATCTAAGAAAAG